CTGACGATAGTGTGATGCCTCTGAAGTTCCCACACGTGCCCAGATCTCCTTTCTTTGTTAGCTTGATGAGGTATCCTTCTTTTTGGTCTGTCGGCACTTGTTCTTACTTTCAACTCTTTCTGAATAGGACGTGGACGATCTTTACAGTTGCCCCTACGACTGACTTCAGCTGGTATGTTGTCGTTTCTAGGTCTTCCACATATTCCTGCTCGTCGGTTCTAATGCTTCTCTTCACTTTCTTGTTTTCTTCTGTGTATTCAGCTTTCGCCTGGACTTTCTCTGTTCTTGTTCGGCTGTCGTTGATTGCTGTCTTCTTGTTCTCCCTTTCTTGAATTCTGCCTTGGGTTTCGAAAGAGATCCACTTCTTATGATGTTTCTTGTGACCCAGAACCTCCTGACACGTCAAAATTAGTGCTTCTTTGATCCCTTTCCGACTGTCCCCCATAGTAGTTTTTGCTTCTTTGAATAAATCTTGTAACCTGTTGTTGAGGGCTATCTTGAATTCGTTGAGTTTGTCAGCATCTCGAAGTAAGACTGTATTTGACCTTTGTAATGTTCAGTTTTACAGTACTTCTTTATATCAGCTTCTCTTTTTATTCTCACGTTTTCCATTGACTTTCTGAATCTTTTATTGATTAAATATGATCGATCTGGTTCTCCGTGATGTGACCCATGTAAATTTGTGCATGCGTTTGTCTGGAAATATTATACCGCCTATAACCATTTTGTTGAATGCACATAAATTTTCTAATCTGTAACCATTCTTGTTCCTTTCTCCCAGCCCATGTCGTCCCATGATATCTTCATACCCAGTGTTGTCCATTACGACTTCGACATCTGAGTCTCCCATCAGAATGGTCACGTCCTTTCCTGGGCACTTCGCTATGATTGATTTCAACCTCTCGTAGAACTGATCCTTATTGTCATCGTTGCTATCATTGGTGGGTGCATAACATTCATTGTGATTCCCACCTTTATTTTGAAAGATGCTTCGACGATCCTGGGTCCACAAGATTCATATCCTGTAAGTGCTTCACATGCTTCTTTAGATAGCATCGGAGCAACTCCCTGTGTGTGGAAATTTTCTCAATGAACAAAGTACAGCAGCGTCTTTCTCGAATCTATCGCTTTCTGTCCATTTTAGGTCCGATGGATTTCACTTATTCCGAGCACCGTCAAGTCGTACCTCCTCATGTCCACAGCTATTTGACTGATCTTCCCGGTTCCCCACATTGTCCGAACATTTCATGTATCTATATCAATCGTTGCTCTGATTAATAGAAGAGACATCAGTCTCGTAACTTTCGAAGAATATCGGCTTTCAACATGAGGTGTCATAATTCTTCAACTCACAGAGCAGAGTTTTAATTGTTTATTATGGTTAGTGTTTTTATCTAGCAAGGTTGTTTTCTACGCGACGGGGTTGCCAATCGCATGCCCAACCCTCCTCCTTTACCCGTGCTTGGGATCACCTTAGCCCTAGAAGGGCTACAGGCTTAGTTAAACATATTACTGCCTAATCAAAATGCCCCCAAATGCCCTGGTATGACAGAGAGCGGGGTGGGTTCGCTTTATCTCTCGAAATACTCTCACACGGCCACGCGTATACAGCCTCTGCCAGGGACTTCCTACTCATTGCCTTCTGGTAGCGGGGGTGTTGTTTACGAAAATGAGAGGACGAAAAGCGAATGTCCGGCGATTTAACTGGATTCCAAACCAAATCAATGGTTCACACGGGCTCCAGTATCCTGCGGGAAAAAATGGCGTATGAATCAATTTTCGGTCACCGGCTACCATGGGACTGTATCTCCTTACGATGCTCCACTGCCTTGTGGGTTAGACCTGGCGTGGTTGTGTACAAGACTGCCGCTCCTTTTGGAGTACCTGTCTGGCCTTTGACCATGCTTTGGTCTGCGCCAATCTTATCTTACTTTTCAGTGGACAACGAAATGACCGCCACCAACGGATTGATGTTAGCAAGCTGGTTGCAACTTCTGTTGCTAGTAAGTATCGAACCGAGCTAGCTTCTAGGCTAGCTACCATTCCACCGAAAAGTATAGATGAGCATTGGTTGCAAATTCACGACGCCATGAAAATGGCGAGTAAAGCCTCTTGCGGCTTCGCAAAACGGCCCGCTTATAAGCACCGGGTTTCTTCACGTTCCTTACAACTCATTGAAGCCAGTCGATCTACTCCGGGTGACCGTGAGTTTGACCATAAACGAAGGATGTTACGTAAGGGATTCGAGCAAGGCTTGCGTAAGGACCAAGAAACCTGGTGGTCGGAGCGTGCTAATGAGTTGGAAGCAGCAGCTGCATCTGGTAATTACCGGAAGCTCTTCCAACTCATCCGAGCCACTGGCAGCAAGAAGTCTGGTGTGAGCGAAACAATCTGCGAGGATGATGGGATGCCAATCACTAACGTCCATCGACGTCTTGAACGATGAACAGAATTCTTCGAAGGGCAGTCCAACTGGCCTGCTGCTCCTGCAACATCGGTCAAACTGTCCTGCCCTCCATGGCCGGTGACGACTGATCCACCAAATGAGGCGGAAGTCCGCAAGGAACTTCAACTCTTGAGGGGCTACAAATCACTAGGCCCAGACGACTTACCTCCGATTCTTTTTAAAGATGGTAGTGACTTTCTGGCTAAGGAATTGACGACGTTGTTTACAAAGGTTTAGGAACTAGAGAGTGTACCAACGTCATGGAATGAGTCGATAGTTGTCCCTATCTTTAAAAAAGGGTTCACGTCATTCCTGTAACAACTATCGCAGGACAGGTCTACTTCCCATTACGTCAAAGCTATTGGCTTCCGTCATATTTCGTAGGTTGTTCAAAACTCGAGAAAGATTGACTCGCAAGGAGTAGGCTGGGTTTCGTTCTGGTCGAGGATGTATTGATCATATCTTCACCCTACGCCAAATGTTAAAACACCGTCATACTTATCACAGGTCAACAATCGTAATGTTTCTTGACATCAGGGCTGCCTTCGATTCGTTGGATAGCACTGTTCTCTGGGATTGTCTATTGAAGAAGGGTGTGCCTGAGAAGTTTATTAATATCCTAAAAGCCCTATATACAAACACCTCAGGCACAGTGATGGCATACAAACACCTCTCTCCATTGTTCCATTCAAGCAGTGGGGTTAGACAGGGTTGCCCAATCTCACCATTCCTCTTCAACTTTGCTATCGACAATCTGGAAACAGCTCTGATGGATGTAAGTAATGGCGGTGTGGATCTGTTGCCTGGAGAAAGACTTCTCGACCTTGAGTATGCGGACGATATTGTCTTCTGTGCGATAATGCCCAAGGCATGCAATCCGCACTTAATCAGTTGGCAATCAGTGTCCGTAAGTATGGTATGTGCTTTGCACCTTCTAAGTGAAAAGTACTTCTACAAGACTGGCAGGATTCTAATCATGTACTCACCCTGGATGGTGAGCAGATAGAAGTAGTCGAGAAGTTTGTGTATTTGGGTAGCTGCATAAGTGCTGGTAGTGGGGTCAGTGATGAGATCAATGCACGTATAGTGAAAGCCAGAGCGGCTTATGCCAATTTGGGCCACCTTTGGCGCCTTCGTGATGTCAGTCTGGTTGTAAAAGGTCGGATCTACAACGCGTCGGTGAGAGCAGTTTTGTTCTATGCTTGTGAAACCTGACCTCTCCAAGTTGCGGATATTAGACGACTCTCTGTGTTTGATCATCGTTGTCTCCGAAGGATCGCTGACATCCAGTGGCAACATCATTTTAGTTATGCAGAGGTTCGGCATCGTGTGTTCGGACAGAGACGATAATTCAATTCGTGTCACCATCTTCAAACATCGACTTCGGTGGTTTGGACATGTTCTACGAATGTTGTCACAGAGAGTTCCACATCGTGCATTATTTGCCGACTCTGGGACTGGTTGGAAGAAGCGGAGAGGTGGTCAGCATATGACATGGTGTCGTGTTATGAAAGAAAGCTGCAAAGGACTGGCTTCTGTTGGTCCTTCATGACTCCCTGGTTGGGGTCCGAGAGATGATGGAACACAGTGGCTAGAGACGTTATCAGATATAGCTCATAACAGAAGCCAGTGGCGATCCTGCTGTAACCTTCTTTTACTTTCTTCATAAAACGTGGTTGTATCTTCCTTAACCGAAAGATTTCTTCTGGTTGTACCTTTCTGTTTCTCCCATTATTATTATTATTATTATTATTACACCATCTTACACTAATCTGTTCGTTTCCTTTTTTGTTTTACGCTCCTTACCTTCTTTTGCTTCTATTCCCGTTCCTGTTGTTTTGTGTGGCGCATATATATTTGGTGCCTCCTTGTCCCAATATTTATGTGTTCAAATAAATAAATAAATAATACTAATCATAATTTAACTATTAGAATCTAGTTAGATAATACAGACATTTGTTCATTTCGTACATAATTTACTGAACCAAAACCACAGTACACTTCCATATACTAAATTGTTAGACACATTGAGTGTACCCTCAAACTGAATTGGATAGACAGGTAATCAAACTCGCGATACGCGGTCAAAACATATTGCTTAAACTATTAAGATTCCAAAAGTACTACCCTGTAAATCACAATACATTTATAGTATAGACTATTTAGTAGTAAAGTGTATTACTTAATGGTTGAAATTTACACTTGACTAGATGAGAGTCATTTGTTACTACAGTAGTTCAGACAGCGGTGTCATAAGGTATACCTGTTAATGACCCAATGTCAAATCTGAGATCAGTTGCAAACAATTCGACCCAACGTTAAGGAGCGATTAGAATTATCAAGTAGCGTACGTCTCACAAAAGTTAACACGTACAGTGATCAATGATCTTTTCTATATTTTATAACAAATATATTTTCTCTGGTGATTTCATCTCAATAAATAAACTGATAAGTAGTTAATTATTTAGTACATTATACAAAACTATATTTACTCCATTCGATGACGGATCGGTGGACAAAATATCAATTAACAAACTGAAAAATAGTTTATCTCGTTACCATTATCACTATCCTAAAAGACTATTTCATCCTGGTATTCAACAAGTCAATCACTAAGATTTAAAGTAGTTAAGAATTAGTGCTAAATTACTTCCAGACTTTATTATAAGATCGAAACAATTGCGTGTTTTGGTATATTACTCAGGAGTGGTACTAGTATTCATATGAATGACAATAACAATAATAATGGTAAATAACGAACATATTTAAACCATTTTCAAAAAGTTGACTTTATATTAACAAATATTTGATAAAAAGTTCATGCAAAACAAATTCCACAAATTATTAAGTTTATTAATATCGTTAGCTTAAAAGTATTTCTTACACTTACAAAACTGAACAACAGTCTGTTTTTAATATGAATTAAATGAAATAAGAGGTGGTAGTTTACAGTTAATTCCAGTTACTAAAACAAATAAGTACACATGTACAAACAATTAAGTTAACCACCATGTCATACAATTCTCAATGAACAAAAGAATCGTAATTTGACTATATCAAATTTAATAAAAGACTCTATAAGTGGACACAATGAACAAAAACATAAAAAAAAGAACAATAACACAAAGCAATAGAGATCAGCAACACAGAAAAAGTAGCAAAATTAGGTAATAATGAATTTAGTTAGCGGAATTATCATCAAAGTATGCCAGCAAAACACAATATATTGTTTTCTTTTAACAATCGTTATTTGGAATACATCGTGGATGAAGATGGATGTGGGGGAGAGAAGTTATTCAACTGACACTGAACAGATAGATAAACAGAAATTAGTATTTACGTTTTCATACATATAAGTTATGCGATGTATAAAAAAATGTATTTTGTGGACAAAATTCTAATCAAGTAAAATTACACGAATCACATGAGAAATAAAATAAATCACGATATAAATGTCCAGTGGTTTAATTTGAAGATAAAAAGGTTTCGGACAAACATTCCAGCCGTTTAAGTTTATCTTTTCAGGCTATCTAGCAAGAACTTTACAATGAATGGCAAGCAAACGGAATTAGAGTTTTCAAAATTAGTTATTTTAGGAGATACAGCTGTCTGAATCGATGCCCCTTATGACAACCAGAGCAACCACTTATTTAGGTACATGGAGTGCTCGTACAATGTGGGAGACCTGGAGAGTCTTCCAAATTGCTGCAGAAATGAGGAGGTACAACCTGGAGGTGTTTGGAATCAGTGAAACACATAGTAGGCAAGTTGGACAACAACGACTAGCTTCAGGGGAGCTTCTATTATACTTCGGCCATGAAGAAGAAAATGCCCCACATAGATAGGCAGTTACATTGATGCTGTCCGAACAAGAACAAAATGCACTAATAGGATGGGAACCTCATGAACTAAGGATCATCAAAACCTCTTTCAAAACAAAGAAAGAGGGCATTACAGTGAACGGCATCCAATGCTATGCGTCTACCAACGACTAAAATGAAGACGTTGAAGATCAATTCTACGATAGGCTGCATTCAATCGTCGAGAAGTGCCCAACAAAGGACTTGACCATTTTGATGGGAGACCTAAACATCAAGGTTGGAATGAAGAACACCGGATATGAAGACATCATGGAACGACATGGGACAGGAGAAAGAAGCGGAAATGGTGAGAGATTTGCAAACCTATGTGCCTTCAACAAACTGGTTATAGGCGGCACTATATTCCCACATAAACGCATACACAAAACACATGGACTTCACCGGATCACACTACACAGAACCAAATAGACCATATCTGCATCAACAGAAAGTTCAGAAGGACAATGGAGGGTATGAGAACCAAGAGAGAAGCCGATATAGCATCAGATCATCATCTGCCGGTCGCCAAGCTGAAATTTAAACTTAAGAAGCAGTGGAAACGGGGCGGACAACATTACAAATGTTTAATACGGATTTCCTTTGGGATACTGACAAACTCAACAACTGGAACTCAAAACAACTGTCAACCAACACCAAGGTCAGGACTTTCAATACAAATGTCAAGACAGTTCTACTGTATGAGACGGAAACCTGGAGAACTACGAAAGCCATCATCCAGAAGATACAGGTGTTTATTAACAGTTGTCTACGCAAAATACTTCGGATCCGTTGGCCGAACACTATTAGCAACGACCTACTATGGGAGAGAACAAACCAGATCCCAGTGGAGGAAGAAATCAGGAAGAAGCGCTGGAAGTGGATAGGACACATATTGAAGAAAGCACCCAACCACGTCACAAGACAAGCCCCCACATGGAATCCTCAAGGCCAAAGGAGAAGAGGAAGACAAAAAGACATTTTACGCCGGGGAATGGAGATAGACATGAGTAAAATGGACAAGAATTGGATGGAACTAGAAAAGAAGTCCGAGGACAGAGTGGGATGGAGAATGCTGGTTGGCGGCCTATACTCTCTTGGGAGTAACAGGCATAAGCATGCAATCTGAATACAAACTGGTAATAGTTGATATACGACAAATGAGTGACCGTCTAGTATGCTACATTGTAAATCATTATGTAATCTGCTCGACCAAAGCCATAATCTTTAGCTCCTGTGGAATGTTACAACGAAACAGATATAATTGGGATTCCGTAAAAAATCTTACTAGTTTAACTATCTGTTTGATTAACCTTAACCGTACCCAGTAGTTTTGTCAAGTAGATTAAAGTTTCATAAAAATGGGGAGCTACACGGCAAGTTAACAAGTAGAAATGCTTCAGAACTCTAGTAGTGTAATAAAATTTAACATGAAGTAACGTTATTTTATTACTGACCTACTAAACCGAGGAGTAACACCTGATAATTACAGTGAAGTTAACACCTGGTTAACAATTTTGAATATCTGGACGAGTAGAGTATGCTTATTTCCAATATGTTTCCTCGAGTTGTTTCTGATAGGATATGAATGAACTAACTTCTGCACTAAACAACAATAACCATATAAATACGCCCTTAGAAGCCTTTAGTTGAAACTCAATTTCCTCAATAATGAAGCAAAAATATATGGATACGAATGTCCGAAATAGTATGTCATGAATTAGTATCACTTAGTCTTCTCTTAAACGACTTTACTTTTAAAAAATGTAATATAAGAGGTGAATTTAAATAAAAACAATTATTCATAGTGTGTTAAATATAACTGTTAATACAAACGTAAGACAACTTAATTACTAGATTCAAGGCCTACATTATAAATGATCAAACCTTAATTTCTCACTACAAAGTAGCATAGGTTATTGACTAATAGGTGTTTATCTTCATAGCTGTGTTATAGTCACTTAATTTTGTATTCCTTTAAGCCAACTTCGTGACTTATAAATTATTCGCATGTCGAATTCGCCTAACTATCAGTCACCAATTTATCCCAAAGATATCAATGATTTTTTGAAGATTCGACCTATATATGACGAACTTGGTTATGTTCACTAACATCAGATGAGCTGTAAATAGTTTAGCCACTTAAAATCCTTCATGTACGCTACAGAAAACAGAATGGCTGTTCTATTCAACGTAATGATGATGAGTACAGTTAACTTTGTATAAGACATTTGAATAACTAATCATCATTAGTTTGACGTCATACATACTGTAACAAATTTATCAGCGTGTTAAAAAGTTCAGTTTTTATTGATGCTTTGGTATTTTAAGAGAAACCTATAACTTTCAACAGGATGAGTTGTTTATATTTCAGGAGTACTTTACTACGCTGAGAGAGAAGTTTAATAGAACTTTAGCAAGAATTTTGAACAACTATATGTTAGTTGTAGAAACGTAGATGATAAACAGCTTTCTTAAGTTGCTTCAGGATAAGCGAATAATAATAATGTGACATTTTAAGATACATAAAATATGATGCCTTTCATGATAAACTATAAAATCCACAGCAAAGTGCTTAATTCAAAGAGACAAAGAAAAACGTAGTCACCAGAATTAAATAATTGTCCTAGCTTTTTTTTAAAAAAACTTTGACTACTTTTATCTCGATTCACCAGAACAGAAACTTAGCAGTGTGTATGACTCAGATTTGGAGTTGTGAATTTAAGCACTTTCCCATGTACTTTCACCTGGACAACCACGTGATATCAGCAGTCTGTTAAAGAAAGAGTTGTGAATTAAAAATGATAACAAGAACCGGCAATTAGTTACAAAGCTACATTGCATCATAATCTGAAAGAATAATTTATTGAACCACAACTTATTTGGACAGCATGCTAAAGAAGATGGCGTTTGTTTTAAAAATTAATAAAGTACCCTGAATTATCGGCCTGAGGATATACATTCTCATTAACGGGAAGAATGGGTTTTTTTTAAATGTACCGAACAGTTCACAATGAAAATGATAAATTCTTACGTGCAAGAGACTTCTGATATACTGTTATCATCGTCTCTATCATCATCCTCTCGATAAGTATTTCTTCGTTCCTCTTGTCCTGGCTCTTCTCGCTCACTTAATGTTTCATTTACTGTTGACTGTGAATTGATTGAATGAACTTCAATAGGGAAAAAATCAATTAACCATGGAGTAGTTACAACGTCGGAATCAGAAAAAGTGGCACTAATTGGTATTCTTCGTGTACGAATATGTCTTATATGTCGACTATGACTAGACTGTATTCGACGTGAACGATTACGTCTACATTGTGTATTCTTCTCTACTGAAGTAGCATTAGGCTCATCATCATCAGAACTCAAATCACTATTGAATATGATAGCAGCGACTGATGGTTGAAAAGAGGTTTCTTCATCAGTTAGACTTCCTGTTTTTGTTCGTTTTTGCTTAGGTGCTTGAGAACAACCTAACTGACAAGAAAAATCAATGGATTCATTCCCAGTACGTTTTTGACTATCAGTTTGACCAACTCCTTCAATGCTTTCATTCACTAAATTCACGTTATTCAGAACAGATTCACTGTGCAATGTGTCGTCAAGACTTCCAGCAGGATGATTGGCATTAGTATGCGTTTCGTTTCCAGAAGGTTGCAGTGCAGAATAAGAATCTCTTTCGAAATTGATGTTGTCATGGTTATTATTATGATCATCATCGTCATCTTCACTGGATTCATTCTCTTCTTCGTTATTCCGTTCATCAGTACAATCGCGATTTCTCGATCTTCTAGCTCTATTAGAATCAAAATCAAGACCACGAAAATTATAACCCATATTTAACAACATTATTTCCAGAGGATCAGCGTTAGAACGTTGTTGATTCCGTTCAGCTGCTCCAACTTGATCTCTAACAACTCGTGATTGATCAGGGTCTTCCTGGAAATAAAAGGTCACATTGAATATTCCTCTTAACAAAAATAAATAAATAGATACAAGAAATTTTTTCTCAGATGAAAAAGACGAAAAATCTGTTTTACTATAGTCAAATTCATTTCAACTCTCACCAATCAGAAAGTCGCAACAAGGGAAACAATTTATCTTCACATAAGCGTGATTACGGTTGATAATAAACTATGTAATTCGAAAACGAAGCTATTCAAAAATGTTGGCATGGTGATTACCTAAGTATAACGACTAAAATTAGATTATCATTGACATACTACTCAATTTTTGGTGATAATGATTCACAATGATATCCAAGATCATAGTATATATAGTTTAAAGGCTGTTAGACCCCAAACATAATTGACTTGACGAGCTACAGTGAAAGGTCAGTGTTTATCATGTGACCTTTAATTTGCACTTTTACTAAAGAACTTTTACCTAATATTTAAATTAGTTTTAATTTCCTGATACACATTACGTTAGTCAGTAGTTCTGTATTTCGGAATATGTTTCGTTGAGAGTCGAAGGCGGCCTAAGTTACAGCAGTTTATTTTTATCGAATCTATCGTCTCATTATAAAAAATGAGTGAATCTACAAATTC